AGACATATGTTGTTGTTTGCCTGTTGCCCAGTGTGCTGTGCTCAATCTTTGGAGGTAGTGATTCTGCCATTTTCAGCTGAGGTGGGAGGATTGCTTGAGGCCAGGAGTTTGAGAGCAGCCCGGGCAACACAGTGAAACCCCTGTCTCTAAAAAAATGAAAAAAAAAAAAAGCCTGGAGGGGTGACGTGCTCCTGTAACCCTAGCTACTTGGGAGGCTGAGGTGGGAGGAACATTTGAGTCAAGGAGTTTGAGGCTGCAGGTGAGCTGTGATGGTGCAACCGCACTACAGCCTGGGCGACAGAGCGAGACTCCGTCTCAAAAAAAAAAAAAAGGAAAGTCTATCAGTGATACTTATCGTATTAACTGATGAAAGGAGGAAAAACTACAGGATCATTTTAATAGATGCTGAGGAAGTATTTTTAGAAGTTCAACATAAATTTGTGATTAAGCCTCTTGGCAAGTCAGAAATGGGAGGACAAACATTAGCAGCATTCCCTCTGAGACTGGAAACAAGAATGTTCTGTTTGCTATTATCACTTCTGTTCAACAGAGAGTATTGGAGCTTCCACTCTAGCATTAAGACTAGAAAAAATAAATTAGAAACATAAGGATTGGGAAAGAGAAAATAAAACACATTATTTTCAGATACCACCAGCTATATGGAACCCCAAAGGGAGAGTTTAGCAAGATACCTAGATATAAGAAAAATATACAAAAACTAATTGCATTTCTATATATACTGGGAAGAAACAACTGGAAAATGTCCTTGGGAAAAAAGGATAATGTTCACAAGAGTATGAAAATTATAATAAGTACTTAAGAATAAGTATAATGAAATGTAGGCAAGAATTAGGCAGGCAATTATACCTCCGCCTCCTGGGTTCAATCAATTCTCTGCCTCAACCCCCTGAGTAGCTGGGATTACAGGTGCCTGCCACCATGCCTGGCTAATTTTTTTGTATTTTTAGTAGAGACGGGGTTGCACCATCTTGGCCAGGCTGGTCTTGAACTCCTGACCCCGTGATCCACCCACCTTGGCCTCCCACAGTGCTGGGATTATAGGCATGAGCCACCACGCCCGGCTGAGATAACCCATTCTTAAGGACAGGAAAGCCTGGTATTACAGAGATGTCAGTTCTTCATAAACTGATCTAGAGACTCAATGCAGTTCCAATCAAATCCCCAATAAGAATTTTGTAGAATTTGATCAGCGATTCTAAAAGTTATACGACAGACCAAAGGACCAAAATACTCCAGAAGACGACGACCAAAGAGGATCTGTCCCATCTGATATTAGGACTTTTAAAGCTATGGAATTAAAACAGTATGGCATTTGAGCCCAACAAATAGAATCATTGAATACGAATCAGAGACAGAGACGCTCCCAGACACCAGATCTTCACATGGCCCGCCGCGCGCGTGGTCCCGCCTGTAATTCCAGCTCTTGGGAGGCACGGCTGAGATGGATGCCACTTCGCCGCCGGCAGGAGTTCAGACAAGCCCTGGCCAATGTGGTGAACCACCCCGTCTCTACACCACTACAAAACACTTCCCCCAGGTATGTTCGCCAGGTCGCCTGTAATTCCAGCTCTTGGGAGGCTGACAGCACGAAGAACACTTGAACCCGGGAGTGGAGGTTGCAGCTCACGCGAGATCACACCGCTGCTACTCTAGCCTGGGACGACCAGCTGAGACTCCGTCTCAGAGAACAACAACAACACAAAGAAAACAAACAGACCTCACCATGTATTGACTTCGACGTATAACAGAGGTGGCATGGCTAGATCCCGTAAGGAATATAAGGTGGGTTATGTGTATATAGATGTATTCAGCCCATTTTTCCACACTGCTATGAAGAACTGCCTGGACTGGGTAATTATAAAGAAAAAGCAGGCGGCGCGCGGTGGCTCGCTGTACTCCCAGCACATTTTTTTGTTTTTTTCGGATTTTGGGAGGCCCGAGTACGCGGCGATCACGAGGCCACGGAGATCGAGACCATCCTGGGCTAACAGTGGAAACCCGTCTCTCACTAAAAATTAACAAAAAACAAGTTAGCCGGGCGTACGGTGGCAGCGCCTGTGGTCCCCCCACGCTTACTCGGCGGCTGCAGGCAGAGATGGCGGGAACCGGGAGGTTCGGAGCTTGCAGTGGGAGCCGAGATTCCGCCCACTGCACTCCAGCCTGGGCGACCGAGTGAGACTCGCACTCAAAAAAAAAAACAAAAAAAAAAAATAAAGAAAAAAGGTTTAATTCAGCTGATCTGCCTGCCTTGGCCTCACAAAGGGCTGGGATTACAACATGAGCCACCATGCCCAGCCTATCTATATTTTCCATACTAATTTTCTTCATTTCCAAAAGGAAACTGGATTTTTATTTCACAAAATACACAAAAGTCAACTCCTGATGGATTAACGACTCAAATATCAAAAGCAAAATGTTAAAAATTATAGAAAATATCTATGAGTATCTTTCTGACCGTGGATAAGAAAGGATTTATTACACAAGACCAAAAAGAAAAAAGCACTAACCATGAAATAAAATAATCACACATTTTATTATATTAAAATTAAGATTTTGTTTTAATCAAAAGACAAAATGAAGAAAGTAAAATGGCCTGGGTGCAGTGGCTCACGCCTGTAACTCCAGCATTTGGGGAAGCTGAGGCAGGTGGATCGCTTGAGTCCAAGAGTTCAAGACCAGCCTGGGCAACATGGTGAAACCCCATCTCTACAAAAAATATAAAAATTAGCTGGGCATGGTGCACAGACCTACAGTCCCAGCTAGTAGAGAGGCTGAGGTGGGAGGATCACCTGTGCCTGGGAGGTCAAGGCTGCAGTGAGTCATGGTCATGGCTGCAGCCTGGGCAACAGAGCGAGATCCTGTTTCAAAAACCAAAACAAAACAAGAAAGTAAAATGACAAGCTGCTAAGCTGGAGAAGATATTTTCAATACATATAATTGACAAATAACATATAATATATAAAGAACACCTTGAAATCAATAAGAAAAGGACAAAAAAAAGGTGGGCAAGAGACATGAACAGGCATTTCATAAATGGTCAATGAACATGAAGAGATACTCAACCTCGTTAATCAGAGAAATGCACATCAAGATCAAATGAGAGGCCAGGTGCGGTGGCTCACCCCTGTAATCCCAGCATTTGGGAGGCTGAGACAGGCGGATCACCTGAGGTCAGGAGTTCGAGACCAGCCTGACCAACGTGGTGAAACCCCATCTCTACTAAAAATACAAAAATTAGCAGGGCATGGTGGTAGGCACCCACAATCCCAGATGCTCGGGAGGCTGAGGCAGGATAATTGCTTGAACCTGGGAGGTGGAGGTTGCAGTGAGCCAACATCACGTCATTGCACTGCAGCCTGGGCAGCAAGAGTGAAATTCCATCTCAAAAAAAAAAAAAAAAAGTGGGGATACCATAATACCATTCACACCCATTTTATTGCAAAAATGAAGAACTTGGCCAATACTAAGAGCTGGAAAGCACATAGATTAACCAGATCACTCACAGATTTCTGGTATGATTAATTGGCCAATAGTTTTGGACTATGGTTTGGCAGTATCTTTTGAAAAGTTTTTTTAATTTTAAAATTTTTATTATTTTCTTTTCTTTAGAGACAGGGTGTCACCGTGTTGCCCAAGCTAGTTTTGAACTCCTGGGCTCAAGTGCTCCTCCTGCATCAGTATCCCAAAGTGCTGAGACTATAGGCGTGAACCACTCCACCCGGCCTTGGCTTGGCAATATCTTGTAATGTTGATTATTCACATAGCCTTTGGCCCAGCAAGTTCATTTTCAGGTAGCCTCGAACTACATGATCCTGTACAAGAATGTTGATAGTAGCACTAATTATGACAGTAAAAAGCTGAATACAACCCGATGCCCACTGAAGAGAGAATGGAAAAATCAACTGTGGTTTATTCACACACTTGAATGTTATGTAGCGGTGAAAGCTGAATAAACTACAGCCACACGCAACCACAAGGATGACTCCTGTTATCAAAACATTAAATGTCATTTTCATAGAGTGCAAAAGCAATCAAATCTATAAATACATAGTTTGGACATATTTATAAGTAATATATAATTATTACATGTATATGTAATATAAAAATACTATTATTTTATCTATTTTAGAGACAAGGTCTCACTATGTTGTCCAGGCTGGTCTCGAACTCCTGGGCTCAAGCAGTCCTCCTCCTTTGGCCTCCCGAAGTGCTGGGATGACAGGTGTAAGCCATGGTGCCTGGCCTATGATGATGATGATTATTATTCTGAGACAGAATCTCGCTCTGTTACCCAGACTGGAGTGCAGTGGCAAGATCTCGGCCCACTGCAACCTCCGCCACCTGGGTTCAAGCGATTCTCCTGCCTCAGCCACCTGAGTAGCTGGGATTATCAGCACACACCACCACGCCTGGCTAATCTTTGTATTTTTAGTAGAGATGGGGTTTCACCATGTTGGCCAGGTTGGTCTCGAACTCCTGACCTCAGGGTGATCCACCCACCTCGGCTTCCCAAAGGGCTGGGATTACACGTGTGAGCCACCATGCCCGGCTTATTATTATTTTTTAAGCAAAATTTACACAAATTTTAGGAGTTGGGGAGAAACACCTGAAAACAGACAGGTATTGTCAGCATTCTACTAGATTTTTCTGGTGATTTCATGGGTATCCATTATTTTGTTAAAAATAGTAGGCTGGCAGCACTTTGGGAGGCTGAGGCAGGAGGATCGCTTGAGCCCAGGAGTTCAAGACCAGCCTGGGCAACATGGTGAGACCCCCGTCTCTACAAAACTTAAAATAATTAGCTGAGTATGGTGGCATACACCTGTAGTCCCAGCTCCTCGGGAGGCTGAGGTCAGGGGATTGCTTGAGCCCAGGAGTTTGAGATTGCAGTGAACTAGGATCGTGTCACTGTACTCCAGCAGGGTAACAGAGGGAGACCTCATTTCTTAAAAAAAAAAAAAACACAAAAAAACTTAAAAGCAAACACGTAAAGCAGCATGGCTCAATAATGAGAACCATGATGACCCAAAGATGATGATTAATCCATTTCTGGACCTCTGTGGTCTCTTAGCAAGAATTGCAGCTCAGCCACCTCCCGACTCTGCTTAGCGTGTAGAGATGGCAACAGCCCACTTGGAGAGTTCGGGGAAGCGTCAACAATGGCCTAGTGGGCTCCGTCAATGGAAGCTATTCTTATTGTGCTATGTCCAGGGACTTGAAGCCAGAATGCAAGGGGTCACTGGACTTTGCCCTTTCCTGGGTGTGGAGTGGGGAACAGCCCGATACCGCAGGAGCCCTCTGAGTCCCACCCTGGTTAAAGCTCACAAGCTTCATTTCCACAACCGTTTTCGGAGAGCATCCCGCCTGCACTCAGCTCTGCTGGTTGCAAGTAACAGAAGCCCAACTCCAACTCACTGCAGCCAGAAAGGAAAGGACTCACCCACTTAAGATGTCCAAGGGTTGAGTCCAGAAATTGAGACGCTGGCCTCGTTGGTTCCTCCCATTTCAGAGAGACTGAAAACCGAAGCTCAGACAGGTCAAGAGAATTGCCCAAAGTCACACAGATGCCAGTGGGAGGCCGGTGCCGCAGCTGGCTCTGCTGAATCCAAAGCCTGCGTTTGGGTTCATCTGCAGGAGGAAACACAGCTGAGTTGAAAGCCCAGCGACTCGGTGGCGCTGCGTGTCTTCCAGGAAGAGAACAAACACAAGCCCGTGTCTGCGGGCGAGCCTTGCCTCGGCCCCCACAGCGGGGGTGGTAGAGTTAGGTGCCCCGAGCCCCTGAAAACCAGGATGCAGTCCCATGGTCCGTCTCTCCCAAGAAACGGAATCCTAACCAGACCCCGTGCCTGCCGGGCGTGGAGTGGAATGTTGCAGCTGCTTGGGTTTGGGGTAGGAAGGAAGGGGAGATGGAACAAGGTCGAGGGTCTCCTGTTCCCCCTGAAGTGCACGGAGGCTTCCTCCTTCTCCCCTTTGAGATCTCAACACAACTCCCCACGCAGATTTTGAATGTGATCATTGAAGAGTGAGGGGCTGCTGATCCCTCCCGTGAGAGACCTGAACTGACCCCTCTTGGCAAAGCTAGGCCGGAACCAGGCCAGAGGCAGAAGGACCTGTGCCCTACAAACTACCCCATCCTTTCCTGGACTCAGAGCCTTGGGCTGTACCCCGATGGATTCCCTTGGCCTTTCCAGCTGAGGGGCCTGGAGGTTTGGGTTGATTCTTGTTTTTTTTTTGTTTTTTTGAGATAGAGTCTTGCTCTGTCACCCAGGCTGGAGTGCAGTGGTGCATTCATGGCTCACTGCAGCCTCAACTTCCTGGGTTCAAGCGATCCTCCTACCTCGGCCTCCTGAGTAGCTGGGACTATAGGTGCGTGCCACCACGCCGAACTATTTTTTTGATTTTTAGTGGAAATGGGGTCTCACCATGTTGCTCAGGCTGGGGTGCGTTGGCACCATCATGGCTCGCGGTAGCTGCATGATCTCGCTATGAGACTCATTATATTTCCCAGGCTGGTCTTGCACTCCTGGACTCAAGGGTCCCTCCTGCTTTGGCCCCCTAAAGTGCTGGGATCATAGGTGTGAGCTGGCTCACCTGGTCCAGGATCAATTCTTAACTTTGGCTCTACTCAGATCACCTGGGAAGCTTGGCAACCAATCCCCGCGAGAAGCCCACACCCCACACCAATTACACCCAAACCTCTGCAGGTGAGACCCGGGCTTCTGTATTGAAAAAGAAATAATTAAAGCCTTTGCTGTGTTCTACACATCCTGAGAGGGGCCACCTGCTTCCAGGGACCTTCTGTGCAGCATCAGGGTCCCACTGTCTACATGGCAGCTGCTGACCGGCACAGGTGTGGGGCTCTGCACACCTCATATCCCTGACAAAGGAAGGGCGGACTGTGGGGCTGGGCGTATGCGGGAAACACATCAGATGGTGAACAAGCTGAGAGGACTGTTTCGTTTCCCAGGGTTGTCATAATACAATCCCACAGACCGCGTGGCTCATACAACAGAAATTTTCTGTTCTCACAGCTCTGGAGGTTGGAAGTCCAAGATCAAAGTTCAACAGGTTTGGTTTCTCCTGAGGCCTCTCTCTGTGGCTTGCAGATGGCTGCCTGCTCGTCGTGTCCTCACAAGCTCTTGCCTCTGTGCTTGTGCATCCCTGCTGTCTCTTTGTGCGTCCAAGTTTCCTCTACTTAGGAGGACACCAGTCAGATTGGATCAGGGCCCACCCCGACAGCCTTGTTTTAACATCATCAACTCTTTGAAGGCCCTGTCTCTGGCTGGGTGTGGTGGGTCACGCCTGTAGTTCCGGCACTTTGTGAGCCTGAGGCAGGCAGATCACTGGAGGTCAGGAGTTTGAGACCAGCCTGGCCAACATAGTGAAACCCCCGTCTCTACTGAAAATACAAAAATTAGCCAGGCGTGGTGGCAGGTGCCTGTAATCCCAGATACTCGGGAGGCTGAGGCAGGAGAATTGCTTGAACCAGGGGGGCAGAGGTTGCAGTGAGCCGAGATCATGCCATTGTACTCCAGCCTGGGTGGCAAGAGTGAAATTCTGTGTCAAAAAAAAAAAAAAAAAAATTAGCAAGGAGAGTTGGCAAGGATGTGGAGAAACTGAAGCCATTGTACTTTGTTGATGGGAATAAAAAATGGCGCAGCTGCTATGGAAAACAGTTCAAGGTTCCTCAAAATGTGACACATAGAGTTACCATAGGAACCAGAAATTCCGCTCCCAGGTATATACCAAGAGAACCCAAAACAGGCACTCAACATATGCTCGTACCTCAATGCTCATGGCAACTGTGTTCACAATAGCCAAAAGGTGCAAACCACACTCATGCCCATCAACAGATGACTGGATAAACAAAATAGAGCATTATCAATACAGTGGAATATTATCGAGCCATAAAAAGGAATGAAGCACTCATGGATCCGTGTGCTCCCATGGATGAATCTTGAAACATTACACGAAAGGAAAGAAGCCAGACACAAAAGGCCACATATTGTCTGATTCCATTTACATGAAGTATCTAGAAGAGGCAAATCCATAGAGACAGAAAGCAGATTAGTGGGCCGGGCGCGGTGGCTCAAGGCTGTAATCCCAGCACTTTGGGAGGCCGAGACGGGCGGATCACGAGGTCAGGAGATCGAGACCATCCTGGCTAA